TTTCTTGACTTAAATTCCTTAGTTTCAACCCTAATTAGTTTCAACCCTAAAGCAAACAGTATGGGGGGGGCATAAAAAGGGGAGGGTGGTTTGGGAGAACATTTGCCTAGCATGTACCAGGCCCCAAGTTTGATTCCTCGTAACACAGAAATGGAGAGAGGATAGAAGGGAGGGAGCATCTTTAAAAAAGTGAAAGTAAAAAGAGGTGAAATCTAGAGTGATCACAAAGACAAAATAACAGCATTTGGGAAACAGAAGGGATTCCATAACCCAGACTACCAAACTGCCAGGCAATAGACAGGCTATAGAAACCTGAGGATGGTGGGTCAGGATCTGCACAGATGCATGGTTCTAGTGCCCAGTTTATCCAGTCTATCTTTCCCCTCAACTCTCTCTACTGGCCTTTCAGGGTCTTGTGCTCTCTTCATATAGGAAGCAGATTTACTTCTACTTCCTTGAAGCAGCTGGGGAGCTTCAAGCAGAGGATTTTAAGACCCAGTTTTCTTTGCGGATCAAATGTGAAGATGAATATGAAGGCATCAATAAACTGCAAAGTGTCTTGGCATATTTATTACCTTGACAGAGGACAGACAAAAGGTTAGGAAGAAAATTAGGCAAATAAAAACTCGAGTAGGACCAGTCCATTCTAACTCCTGTAACCTACAGTCCTCTCCCAGGCTGCTCTGTGTCCCACTTAGGGAGAGGGGGAGACGAAGGGAGGAAAAGGATTGATGGAAGAGGAATCAAGATTGATTTTCTACATGGTTAAATTTGAGTTGCCCATTAGTTATCTACAGGACATTCAGAGCAGGTGGTTTGAAATACCTACCCAAGTGTAGCTAAAAAAAAAGTCAGAGGTGGAAATACAGACTTTAAAGGCATCAGAATATAAAGTATTGTTAAAAATAATAAAAACAGCCAGGCGTTGGTGGCGCACACCTTTAGTCCCAGCACTTGGGAGGCAGAGGCAGGCGGATCTCTGAGTTTGAGACCAGCCTGGTCTACAGAACGAGTTCCAGGGCAGCCTCCAAAACAATACAGAGAAACCCTGTCTCGAATAAATAAATAAATAAATAAATAAATAAATAAATAAATAAATTTTAAAAAACTAACCTATCTGCATGCCTGGTCTACAGAGCGAGTTCCAGGGCAGCCTCCAAAACAATACAGAGAAACCCTGTCTCGAATAAATAAATAAATAAATAAATAAATAAATAAATAAATAAATAAATTAAATAAATACTAACCTATCTGCACTCTTGTACTTCAGTTACTATTTTCAATGTAAAAACTCATTTTCCTCACCATAATCCTAAGAGGTTAGTTAGGTCCTGGGAAATTTCTACTTTACAGATAAAGAAACATACACTGCCAGGAGGTGGTGGCACACGCCTTTAATCTCAGCACTCAGGAGGCAGAGGAAGGTGGATCTCTATGAGCTTTAGGCAAGCCTGGTCTACAGAGTTCCAGGACAGTCAAGGCTACTTAGTGAGACTCTGTCTCAAAAAAATAAAAAAAGAAACAGATATTAAGTAACTTCCCCAAAGACATAAAGCAAGTATGTACCCTAGCTAGGTTTCAAATAACAGGTGTCCTGACTCTGGAATTCTTTAAAGCCATGGGGTTACTAGAGAGTGACTATAGACAGATACAGACTGGGAACACCATATTTCAGTTCATACAGTTTTCCCGAGTCCTTCCTTTCAAGTGCTTGGCATGGTTTCAGGCTCTGCAGATACAAAGAAAAATAAGACACTCTCTCAAAAAGTCCAGTCTAACTACTGCTAGCTGAGAGCAACTATTTATCAAATAACCAGTATCTGGCACACTAGCTAAACTTTCTGGACCTATTTCACCTGATTCTCATAACGACCTTATAGGATACATGTCCTCACTATCATTTTAGAAATACTGAAACTGAGATTTGAAGAGATTAACTTAGCCTAGGGACACTGGCTTAAAAAGGTCAGAACTAGGATTCAATTCAGATCCATCTTACTTCAAATTCAGTCTACCATATGGTATTACTCAGATAAACCTTCAGCAAGAGAAAGCAGAAAGTGGTTACAGAAGTTGGGGAGGGCCATGAGGAGTTGCTTAGTGGATACAGTTTCAGGTTTGCAAGCTGGAAAGTTCTAGAGATTAGTGTGTGTGTGTGCATCAGTGTGAGAATAGTAAAAAAGCTACTGAACTGTATAGCTTCAAACAGTTGTAAAGATCAGGTGTTGTATTTTTTTCTTTAAAAAGGTATTTTTTGGCAGGTGGTGCTGTTGTTATTGCCCAACCTGCTGCCCCTTGTAGTATACTTAATGAATCTGTTTTCTTCCCCATCCCACCACCCCCTCAAAAACTGTTTTTAAAACCTGGCACTTTTCTACTGCGCCATATGCGGTAACCAATATGTGTACTGTACTAAGGAAATATGGTTGAGCAAATAGTTTATTCTGCATAGCAGGAGAGGGGACAGGGAGAGCATAGCAAGGAAAAGAACTGAACAACTCTACTAATAAAGGAAACTATGAAATGTAAAGGTTTCCAGTATCACTATTATTTGGAGGACAGGGATTCCTAAGTCAACCTCTGAAATAACTCCCTCACCTATATAAAACTATCAAAGAAATATGCAATTACAGGCTAAGAAAGCAATGCAACCAAACAAACTTTGAGCATCAACAGAGTAATCGTGGGGACCACAATGCCCAGTCAAAACAGGCTCCAAGAATATTCCAATAGCCCTCTAACATAGTTTCCTAGCGTTCCTAGCATTTCAACACTGGAAACAAATTATTTCCCTAAACTGCTTTATCCAGCATGTTAAAGAATTTCTATGGTTCACTGTTTTTAGGACACAGATGATCTGGAGGAGTGTTGAGAATCACAATACCTAACCTTTTGAACTTCAATTTCCTCATCTGTGTTAAGAGATAAGTTCAACACACAGCTTAAAATATTAAAAATTGCTGGATGTGGTGGAGCACTAAGAACACAGAGGCAAGAGGACTACCTCAAGTTCAAGCACACAACAAAGAAATATGCAAGGCCAGTCTAGTCTGTATAATGAACTCTAAGCCAGCCAGAGCTATGTAGGAAGAGCCTGTCTTAAAAGTAAACTTACTTTAAAAAAATGAATTATCTTGCACACTGATTGATCCAAAGTATATGATCATTAAAGGTGGGTCCCCTCTCTGCCTGTTTGTACATAGTGAGCTCAGTAACACATCCTGGCTTCAAGGACACAGCAAGTATTCCTCAGATCTTCTTAAGGCAGATGCAGAAAAATGCTATGAAGAAAAGATGCTCATCTACAGTTTCTGTAGGAAAATACGGCTACTCAAACGTGCTCCTTAATCTGCAGCCCTCTACAAATACAGACCATCTCACCTTCATCTTTTCAGTCCTTTGAGTAATATTTAAATGGCTCAAAATTAACTTTAAATATGTAATGGTACTTTGAGAAAAATCTCACACCCATTCCATTCCCTCATTCACATACCTAATTCCTACGTCTCTCCAATTCAACACTTAACTGGTTTCTTGTGTGTTCCTGAAAACCCACATGCAAAAGCTATCTTTTAATTAAGCTAATATTCTTCCTCTCCCCCCCCCACCCCTTCTTGGTTTGTTTTTCAAAACAGGGTTTCTCTGTGTCACAGCCTTGGCTGTCCTGGAACTCGCTTTGTAGCCCAGGATTCCTTGGAACTCACAGAGATCCACCTGCCTCTGCCTACCAAGTGCTGGGATTAAAGGTGGGCACCCAGCTAAGCTAATGTTCTCAAAGCAAATTCTGGGGCCACCTGAGAGAATGAGGAAAATGTGAGAGGAGTCATCCACCCTGCTTTATTCAAAGTAGTGCCTCTACACACACACACACACACACACACACACACACCACGCATGTATTGGACACCAATCGGTGTGATAAGCTAGGCATTAAACATAACATTAACTGAGTACTCTTCAGCCCTTATCTGCACCTGAAATGCACTAACACTTCACACTTTGAATTTAGCAGTAACCTGAAAATGCGACTTAAATGAGGAAACTAAGTCACTGAAAGGTAACTTGGCCAAGCAAGACAGAAAGTAGGGCTTTCAACTCGGGCTTGACTAAAGTTCTTCCTCCAAAGCATGTCGCCCTACGCTGGCAAAACAGTCTCTGCACCCGTTGGAGCTCCGTCTAATGTGGGAGACAGGCATGAAAAGGGCACACAACAAAGAAATATGCAATTACAGGCTAAGAAAATAATGCAACCGAAAACGAACTGGAGGATCTGACAGAATAACAATAGGGGCCTACTTTCGAAGAGGAGGAGAAACCTTAAGGCCTCTTTGAGAAGATGACATTTATGATAGGCTTGCGAACCGTTTGGGGGGCTGCAGTGAGGAGGACCCCTTCCTGCTCACAAGGGGCAAACGCCTGGCCAGTAGAAGATGAAGCCAACTCGCCAAGGGCCCCCAGACATGCAGACGTGGCGTAAGGAAATGAGGATCTAGAAACTCGGCCCAGGGCTCATACGCGCCATCAATACCCCAGGCAGCCCGACCCCACTCGGCTCAGACCTGCAGGCCTCCCAGCCGGCCGCTGCCCATCGTCCCACCGCGGCTGACAGCGGCCGGCCCGCACTCGGGACAACCCCGCGGCCAGCCAAGGGGGATCTGGCCGGTCCCGCAGCGGCCTGAAAAGGCCTCTTTCCCGGCTCCTGGCCAGCTCCAGCCTGGCCCGCCCCGCCCCGCCCCTCCGGGCCGGCCTCATACCTGCACCGCCCGGACCAGGCCCCGACCGGTGAGCTGGCCCTGCCGCAGCTGCAGCAGGATGTTACCGGGCCGCGGCCGGCCTCCCCAGCCGCCCCATGCCGCCGCTGTGGCTGCCGACTGTCTCCCCCGGCTGGCCCCAGCTCCAGCCGCTGCCGGCGCTGCCGCCATGTCTCCTCGTCCGACAAACAGGAAGCAAGCGGCCCCGGAGCCGCGTAGATTTCTACGGGGCGGTGGAGGTCTCTCCACATCGCCCCCAGTGGACTGACTGGGAGATGCAGGCCGCGTGGCAGGGGATGTGCGCTCCCCGAAGTCTTATGGGAAGTGTAGTCTTTCTCCCGAGGCCGGGCAGGGGACAGAGATGCTGTGCTTCCTGGACCACCTGTTTCCCCACGTCCCACCTCCGGCATTTCTGTAAGGTTGCTCCAGATGGAAGACTAATCGCTGCGTGGGTATGCTCTCGAATTTCTTGTCTATTTAGGAAAGATGCAGCCGAGTGGCCTATGAAAGGCCTAGGCCAGAATTGACACTTGACTCTGAGTTCTGTCCTCTTCTTTCTACTGCTTTCAACCAAGTCACCGCACTCTTCCCTTGCTCCTCCTCAGTTAGTCCATCCAATGTGGGGTCAGATGAGTCAACTAACACTTGTATCATAATTAACAAATATATTTTATGTAAATAATACATAAAACATTCGAAGAAAATGGTGGAAAACACTTCATGAATTACAAAATTGTGTTGGGATTAATAATTTTACAGATGTAAATAAATAATTTCTAAGGGAGCCAGCTGCACTCCTCACACCGAACAACAGAGGAGGTGGAGAGTGAGGTGATAACAGAGCAGTGGGGGACCCTGTGAGGGGCTTGAGGCCACAGGGACCACAGCAAGTCCACACACAAATAAATGTACCTGGCTAGGGTGTGGTGAAGTTCAATGAAATCGTGCAAGGAATGCAGTTAGTAAGTCGTATCCTCTGCCAAATAGAACACTGCCCTGATTTCCCACTCTCTCTCTTCTGAACTCACATACAGCCGACACAGCAGACTGACTCTTTCCCCAGTTTCTCTCCTAGGAGGCCATCTTGGAACACAAATAAGGAGAATTGAATGTGATGACTTAGGATGTCAAGTAGTTTGCTACTTGTAACAAAGGAGGCTATAATTTGTTACACAAACCAAAATCCCTTGAAGTGTGAAATGATGTAACAAATGATTAGACTGAAACAATAGACATTTATGGGCACTGCCAAGACAAACTAGACTGTGGTTACTATCTTCTTGTTTTGTTGTGGGGTTTTTGTTTTTTGGTTTTTGTTTTGTTTTGTTTTGTTTTCCGAGACAGGGTTTCTCTGTGTAGCTTTGGAGCCTGTCCAGGAACTTGATCTGTAGACCAGGCTGGCCTCCAACTCAGAGATCTGCCTGCTTCTGCCTCCCGAGTGTTGGGATTAAAGGTGTGCGCCACCACAGACAGATGTGGTTACCATCGTCATGCCCACTTATAAGGTATGATTTCTACTCACCTCCAGAAGATCACTACTAGATTATCTGGTTTAAAACAAATAAAATAGGGCTGGAGGGGTGAGTCAGTGGGTAGAGGCATTGGGCTGTCAAGACTCAGGACCTAAGTTGGATTCCCTGGACCAATATTGGTGGAAAGAAAGAAATGACTCCTCTAAATTGTCCTCTAATCAATCTCTCAATCTCTCTCTGCACAAGGCAGCATGAACAACCATAGAAGGTGCATGGCATCCTGGGAAAGAGTTAGCTTAGAATTAAGACGAACTTCCATTCCCGCTTGCCTCAGCTTCTCCACCCCAGGTAGCTGTCTGAGCTGCTGGCTTTCTCATCCCCTCTTCTAATCAAAGACTACTTCCCTGAGCATAGACACATAGCACTGTCTCTTCTGCTCTCACCCCTGCTTTCTCCACTTGACATGTGACTCTGTCCACCTCTCCAGTTAGAGGTATTGGTGATCTGTTTAGTACTCTGCCAGGCTCAACTCCAGTACCCAGAACAGTGCCTGTGAGAGTCAGTGATCCATTTTTTGATATAATCAATAGATCACTGAACAGATAAAGCCACTCCTACAAAATTGCAACAAGCCAAACAGCACAGTAGAAAGAGAGGGTAGGGGGCAGCTGGTGAGATGACCTGGGGTAAAGAAGACCTCAATTCAATCCTCAGAACCCATTCCTGAAAGTCAACTTCTAACCTCCACACACGGGCCATGTCGTCCTTGCCTATGCATGTGCACATGTGTATGCGCACACACAGGGTGTGTGTAAACAAATGTTTAAAGAAAAGAAAAAGATGAGCAGGAATAGGCAATTCTTAGGACAAAGATGGCAAATAAATGTAGAGAAAACAAATAAACAAACAAAAACGTTAAGTCTCCTTGTTTTCCCCGGAGTAAAATGCTGATGGTGAGAAGATCTGCTGTGCCTTTTCAGAAAGCAATTTTTTATCAGTATGAAGTAAGTGAGAAGTGTGCCTTTTTTTTTTTTTTTTGGTTTTATGAGACAGGGTTTCTCTGTTTTGTTTTGGAGGCTGTCGGTCCAGCCCGGCCTCGAACTCATAGAGATCCACTTGCCTCTGCCTCCCGAGTGCTGGGATTAAAGACATGCGCCACCACCGCCCAGCTAGAAGTGTGCATCTTTTACTCAATAGTTCTCCTTTAGTATTACACTGAATAGCATTCTAGTTAGTAAAATTCTAGAGAATATAACCAAAGCAATTAGTCAAGAAAAAAAAAAGCAGCCAAATTGGAAAGGAAGAACTAAAATCATCTCTATTTCCTGATGACATCATCCCATCTGTAGGAAACTAAAGATTTCCACACACTAACAGAACCAATGAACAACCTCAGTGAAGTTTGCACAATACAAAACCACACAAAAAAACTGAGAAAATGGGGTTGGAGGATGACAGCATAGCTATTTAAAGTGCATACTCTTCTCGCAGGGGATCTGAGTTCTATTCCCAGCACCTACACTGGGAGGCTCACCCCAGCTCCAGGAGGACTTGATGCCCTCGTCTGGACTACACAGGCATCTACACTCACATGAACATACCCCATAAACACACAAATATATTTAAAAATAATAAAGATAAATCTTTTTTAAAACCTTCACCTTGAATTTGGTTCTTAAGGACTCTGGATGACTAGAAATTAAGGAGAAAGTTTCCCAGGAATCTGGGTGATACTGAGTGTACTTCATCTCTGTCCTGCTGCCTTCTCCCATGAAGACCAGCTGCTTCTCACCACAAGAGGGAGCAGCATCCTTCTGTCAAGAGGACCTTGATTTGGGTCAACACAGAAAAAAAATTAAAAATTAAACAAAACGGAAACTCTCAGCTTGACTAATTTTTCACAGTAATCCCAGAATAACCACATATGATGCTGTTATTCCTGGAATTAACTACAAAGATCATCTCAATTAGGCATACAGATTTTTCTAGAGCATTTTTTTAATCATAGGGAAGTCATAATCAAAGAAAATCACATTATTATATTCAGGCCACAGTAAGAAATGTCCAGGTAATCATACATCATCTTGTGGTGTCATTTTTAACACTGTTTTCATATTTTGTTTCTAATGTACTTAATGATTTGAGGGTTTTTTAATTATTTTTACAGTGTGTGTGTGTGTGTGTGTGTGTGTGTGTGTGTGTGTGTGTGTGTGTGTGGAGAGAAAGAGAGAGAGAGAAAGAGAGAGAGGAAGAGAGAGAGATCAGATAACAACTTGTGGGTGGGGTCCTTTTCTCTCCTTTCATCTGTGGGTTCTGGGTTCATGTCCATGTTTGGTGACAAGGGTCTTTACCAACAGATCCATCCACTGGCCCTTTGTTGTTTTAAATATTTACTTTATGGGCCAGGCACCTGATTGGTCTAATAAAGAGCTTAATGATCAATAGCAAAGCAGGAGAAATGGTAGGTGGGGCCGACAGGCAGAGAGAATAAACAGAAGGAGAAAGACAGAAAAAAGAGCAGGAGCCAGAAGAGAAAGGGTCAGCCACCCAGCCACACAGCCAGACGTGGAATAAAAGAAAAGATATACAGAAACAGAGAAAGGTAAAAACCCAGAGGCAAAGGGAAGACAGGTTAATTTAAGAAAAGCTGGCAAGAAACAAGTCAAGCTAAGGCTGGGCATTCATAAGTAATAAGACTCTGTGTGATTTATTTGGGAGCTGGATGGTGGGCCCACAAAAGAAAGACTCATTACAAATAGGTGCACATATTTCCTCATAGGGCATGATAAAGAGATCTCTTGAGTAGCCTCAGCATACAGAGGCCCTGCCACAAAGTACTTAAATGGGCTTTATGAGCAGCAGGCAGCACACTGCTCCGTGGCAGGAGACTAGGTAAAAGCCACGACTGAAGCTGGGGAGATGGACTGGGTCCAGGCTGTAAGTGCGAGGCTACAGACACCTAGTAAAGTCCATACCAAGAAAACCTCTAAATAGGTATAGTTTGTTTTAAAATGTGCTTAGATGCTAAAGAAAGAAAAGAAAATAGGTATAGACAGTCATAGAAGAATATGTTTTTTTTTAAGATTTATTTATTTACTATGTATACAGTGTTGTTCTGCCTGCATGTATGCCTGCAAGCCAGAAGAGGGCACCAGATCTCCTTACAGACAGTTGTGAGCTACCATGTGGTTGCTGGGAATTGAACTCACAACCTCTGGAAGAGCAGCCAGTGCTCTTAACCTCTGAGCCATCTTTCCTGCCCCAGAAAAAAAATAGTTTATAAATAATAAAATAAAGTCTTTAAAGAAAGAGAAAAATAAGCTGGGAAGTGGGGGTACACCTCTAATCCCAGCACTTGGGAGGCAGAGGCAGGCAGATCTCTGTGAGTTTGAGGTCAGCCTGGTCCACAAAGCTATACAGAGAAGCCGTCTCAAAGAGAGAGAGAGAGAGAGAGAGAGAGAGAGAGAGAGAGAGAGAGAGAGAGAGAGAGAGAGAGAGAAAAAAGAAAAAAAGAGAGAGAGAGAAAAAGAGAGAGAGAGAGAGAGAGAGAGAGAGAGAGAGAGAGAGAGAGAGAGAGAGAGAGAGAGAGAGAGAGAGAGAGAGAGAGAGAGAGAGAGAGAGAGAGAGAGAGAGAGAGAGAGAGAGAGAGAGAGAGAGAGAGAGAGAGAGAATTAAAAAAAACATGTAAAAATGGGAAATACATAGGGCACCTGGATCCTGTATGGTGCCTTGCTGACTTTGCTTTTTTTGAATGCTAATGTACAGAGAATGACAGCTGCTGAGAAGCAGTGGATTATGGAAGAGATTGCTGAATTAAACCCTAACTACTTTAGGGATAACTTGGCTTCAAAATGGAAGTTGGACAATGTGTTGCAATGATTCCTTTATAGTTCAAGATCAGATTTGACCAGGGGAGACCCATGAAAATCCTGGCTACAGACATAAAGAAATAAACCTAGAAAAACTACAAGACAGAGCAAGGGGACCAGACACCAATGAAAATGGGTGGCCCAGGTGATCCAGCCTCTCAGAGTACCTCTGTTGCAGTTTCCTCAGAGTTTTGCATCCAGAGCAGCTTCAAGGCTGTTGGCTGAGCTGGTCCAGCCTTATGGACTATTCTAGTTAGGACCGAGACTGAACAACAAATGTTATGGCTGGTTTTATCTCAATTTCCTCAGGGTTCCCTAAAGATGCCATAATCCCCAGGCAACAGGAAGTAGTCTAGATTACATGACACCCATATTCCCAAGAGATGGGTGGTTTTTGGTCATTTGGTGGATATGAATGTTTGTTGTCATTTAGGGGGTTGGTTACAAATTGTTACTGGTCATAGTCAGGGAGAAAGCTAAACAAAAGAGATTAGATTCAAGAATCTCTTTCTAAAAGGAAGAAGGGGGATATAGTATAGAAATAATGGATTAAGTAAGAGGGTGAATTGTTGAGTCTACTTTTGAATAACCACTAATCTTAAATATTTTACATTGGCATGGAATTTTGTATATTGATACAAATTTGAGGTTATTTTTGTTATGCTGTATATATGTTTCTGTTCTTGTTTAAGATATTGCATCTATGCAACTCATTTAAAAATGTAGTATAAAGTTTTAGTCCTTAAAAGCTATTTAGGAAAATAAAGAAATGCAGGTTAATTGTCAATCCTATAGTCATGTTAGGTATGTTTTCAAGGTCTTACAGAGATATGTTTTTAGATAGATAGGTGATCTTCAAACACACCAAAGACAGAATATGACATTTAAAATGTTTTAATAGCATAAGGCTTTTCATAACAGTGAGACATATCTGCTCCTGGAAGCACCAATTTGCTTCACAAAAGGATGATGGACCTTGAAGAACTTCCATGTGGAGTTTGCTTTCTTTGTGTCAAAAGCTAGCTATTTGAGCAAGAAATTTCCTTTGCTTCAACTGCTGACAGTATGCTTTCCAAATTGGACAAGCAGGACACAATAAGAAGATAGCTGCCAAACTTTGCTAAGCTAAGGTAGGACAGTCCTTCAAAATTCCTGCTTCACAGAAAAGTCTGTCAGATATTTTAGGCCTGTAGGCTTAAGGTGGATGCCCCCAAATTACAAAGGAACCTTGGGGTAAATGTCCAGGCAGTCAGATGTCTCTGTTGTTTCTTAGTTTTGGAAGTTGTTTGCTCTGCATTTCGAGTAATATTCTATCCTTCTTGGCTCTCTGATGGAGTTGAAGATGAGATAGTTACAGTTACAGCTTTCTTTGTTACCAAATTGAGAAAACAATTTTACAAAAGAGATGTAAAATGTATAAGGTTAAGTAACATAAAAGCTGAGGTTGTTGATCTAAGAAAAATTTTTAAGGTCTAAAAAGATAGTTTTAAGATGGTAATACAAGTTATGATAGGAAATGGTTTGGGTATAAACTTTAAATTTAAATTCATCAAGAGAAGGCAGATAATAAAGTATTTTCTCTGAATATGCCAAATACAAATGGACTGGACATTATGAATGCAATTCTTTGCCTGATAATTATTCTTATTGTTTATAGTTTTATTATAATTAAAGCCTTTTCTTTTTATTTAGATAAAAGGTGGGAAATGTTGCAGAATATTCCTTTATACTGTGTGAAGATGTGTCACTGTGATTGGTTAAATAAGATGCTGAATGGTCAACAGCTAGGCAGGAAGAGGTTAGGTAGGACTTCTGGAAACAAAAAGGTCTGGGAGAAGAAGAAAGGAGTCACTAGCAGGATGCAGAGGAAGTAAGACATGCAGGAGGAGAGGTAAAAGCCATGAGCCACATAACAGCACATAGATTAATATAAATGGGTTAATTTAAGTTATAAGAGCTAGTTAGAAACAAACCTAAGCTAAGGCCAAGCTTTCATAATTAATAAGAGGTCTCCATGTCATTGTTTGGGAGCTGGTGGTACAGAGAAAGACTTGTTATATCATCCCCTACTCTCTAGTGAAAACTTTCTTCTTCCCAGGAAGTTCCTCTCCTCTTTGTGAGTGACCTGGTGAGTTTAATTAGAGTTGCTTACAAGAATGTGCCTAGGAGGTTAGGGCAATAGGATCTAAAGGGTCCTTCGTGTCTGCTTCTAGCTAGCATGAATGTTCAAGATTCATCTATATTGTAGCATTTGGCAGAACTGCATTTCATTTTGGAGTTGAATTGGCAGTCCCTGTCACATTGTTCTGAGGCCTCTGCCATGTCTATCACAACCTGCTGTCTTCATTGCTTCTTTCTTCTCATTTCCAGCTCAGCCCAAAGCAGACAAGAAAATCTACACTATGGGAAAGCCACAAGACAACTCCATCTCTTCAACAAATTGCAATCATGTGAATTTTTTTTCTATCAAAGGTAGTTATCCCAAGGGTATGTTGTAGAATAGCAAACATGTGTTACATTTGTGTATACTGTGGAACATTTGTTTAATGGTGCAAGTATGTGTTGCATTCCTTTACATTGCATTTGTTTAACTCTGTGAAGCTGTATTACTCTGCCCATCTAAAACACCCGATTGGCTTAATAAAGAACTGAATGGCCAATAACAAGGCAGGAGAGAGGATAGGTGGGGGCTGGCAGGCAGAGAGACTAAACAAGGGGAAAAATCTGGTAAGAGAAGAGATCTAGGAGCAAGAGAAGGAGGAGGACTCCAGGGGCCAGCTACCCAACTACAGAGTAACAAGTAAAAAAAGTGTATAGGATAAAGATAAAAGCCCAGAGGCGAAAGGTAGACAGATAATTTAAGAAAAGCTGAGTAGAAATAAGCCAAGCTAAGGTAGGGCATTTATATAATCCTCCGTGTGTGTGTGTGTGTGTGTGTGTGTGTGTGTGTGTGTGTGTGTGTGTGTGTGTGTGTTTGGGAGCTGGACGGCAGGCCCTCAAAAGAGAAAAAAAAAACTAAAACCAACCAACAACAAGGATACCTATTGCCTGGACCTCCTTTTCCCCTTTGCTCTGATTAGCCCACTATGTCAGATTGTGAAGTTGAGTTCTCACCAATGGGATGAGACACAGTCACTACCTATGCTAGAGATGAAAGGCAGAGACCATCTGGCCAGCATGCTCCCTACCCCCATTTGGGTTCTGGTATACCCTTTTTGCAAGTTACTTTTGTTTTGTTTGTGTATTCCTTTGTGGGACACTGAGATTATTTTTTCTTACAGCAAAAATAGAAGTTAAGGGGTGACGTTGAAGAGCTGGCTCAGGAGTTGAGAACACTGACTGTTGTTGCAGAGGACCTAGGTTCAATTCCCAGAACTCACATGGTGGCTCACAACTTCTGAAACTCCGATTCTAGGGAATCTGATGCTCTTTTCTGGCCTTTGTGGGTACCAAGTACATATATGGTACACAGACATATATGCATGCAAAACATCCATACACATAAGATAAAGATAGCAAAAAATAAAGATGAGTGGAAAGGGGGAAAGGAGAAGGGAGCATAACAAAGGGAGGGAAAGAAAGAGGACTTGTACATCAGACGACATTGCAGAAACATGAATTCTGCTTAGATCCTGACTCAGTAAAATACAAATTTATATACAGTAAGAATTTTGGACATGAATTAGATATTTGAAGGTCTTAAGGAATAGTTGCACATTTTGGTAATGAGCTCTGTATTATTTTTTTGAGACAGGGCTCACTATACATAGCTAGCCTCAAACGCATGCTGTCCCTGCCTCTGCCCCCTGAATACTGGAACTATGTGCATGTCTGCATATACTCTCATTTTGGATTCTACATAATATTTCATGGAAACAAGCAAGGTTGCTTATAAGGCTACCATCTTCTTAACTCTTATTTATTCATCCATCCATTCATCCCTTCATTTGTGTGCATGCATGGTGTCTGTGGAAGCCAAGGAGGTTTCTCAGCAAATCTGGAAGAAGGCAGTCAGCAAGCCCCAGGGAACCTCTGGTCTTCATGCCCTGTTGCTGGGGTAGAAGCTATGTGTGTGGCCACAACCAGGTTTTATATGTGTAGGATCAGAACCCAGGCCCTCATGTTTCTTCAGCAAAGTGTTCTTACCCACTGAGCCATTTCTGCAGCCCCAAGTCTACCATCTTCACAGGTAAATTTGTTGAAGTTGAGTGAAAAGCACATGAGGGACCGCCATTTTGTTCTGGTTTTTTTTTCCTGATGTAAAAATTCCCCTCTACCAAGAAACCCTCCCAGACCACCCTACCCAAAGGTTGCTTAGTTCTCCCCATTAACACTCACTTCTCTTCCACCCTTCCTTTCTTTCCTTCTTTCTTTCTATTTGGCATGTGTGTGGATGTGTGTGTTAGCTCCAGAGGTTGACATCAGGTGTCCTCCTCAATTGCTCTCTGCTTTACTTTTTGAGACAGGATCTCTCAATGAGCCCAAATCTCACCAATTCAGCAAGACTGACTGACTACTGAGCTCAGGGATCCCCCTGCCTCTTCCCTCACGTACTGCCACCTGCTCCCCCAACTCCAGCACTGTGAGGACGACAGGACTGGGCCTGTATTGAGGGTGCTGGGGATCTGAACTCAGGTTTGTGCAACTGAATCATCTCCAGCGCTCACTCTGACTGTTCTTCATGAAACTTACGCCACTGTCACTTCAGACACTCAGAGTATTTCTCTCTACCAGAATCCAGTTCCAACAGGAATAAACCTGTTTTCTTGGTTTGCTGCTACTCTCTGGGGCTATGGCTGGCACCCAAAGGTGTTTAATAGACCTCTACTGCCCGGAAGGACACATGGATAGAGGGAACAGCTAAAAGTTGAAGGCACATGTTAGAAAAACCAACAAAGAAACACTGGCAACATCACCTCCCTCAAAGACAACAGAAAAGGAAGAGAGTTTCAGCTTTTAGCCCTGGGAGCTGTGGAGCCAGCTTGGAGTTTAGCTATTTATCCAACTGGCTGAAAAACAGAAACTAGATTCATGATTGTTAGCACAGATCCTTTTTCTGGGTGAAATCTCATCAAGAGTCCAGTATGTAAACCCTGATAGCCAAAAGCAGGTTTATTATTTTATAGCTTAGTCTCAAAAAAATAAAAATTAAAAAATTATCCAGTGGTTATGAGGAATCTAGGAAAACCTGGCCTAGCAATGCCAGTTTAGAGGTGAAGGGCTGGCTAGGGCAGCTGAGAAGTGGGGTTCTCTGCTTGGCAGGCTGCTTCTCCCTTGGCTGGTCATGTTTTTCAGGTGAGGAGGGTGCGCCTGGCCCTGCTGGGGGCTCCCAGGGTCCCGAGCTCACTGTCTTTCTCTGAGCTCTTGGCCTGCTCTGTTTGAGGGAGTAGAACTCCCTCATCAAGCCCTCCACTTCCCACTGCTCCTCCTTCAGCCTCCGGCAGCAGTGCAAGGCAGCAGGGTCGATGGGGTGAGCTTCTGTGTTGAAGATGTAGCCCCCAGCTCCCAGGATGCACTCCCCATGGGGGGTCATCACAGAGTCAAAGGTGGAGCCGTTGTTATGGATGAAGTTGTTAGGGTGAAACAGAAGATAGAGGTATTTCACAGTCTCGGCCAGGAAGAATGACTCCATGCGGTTGTCCAGCTTGTGGTCCCGGAGGTCCTTGATCTGCCGCATGAGAGGAAGGAGGGAGTCAGCACGCAGCATGGTTTGGGAGTAAGGGTCAGGCAGCCCAGGGTATACACGCTCTACCCTAAATAGCTGAGGGCCTTTGGGTGAATCATTTCTCATTTCTCTTTCCAAGCCACCATCGCCTCTCACCTGAATAATGACAAACTGGGCTTCTGCGTCTGCCCTTCCCCTATGGGGAGTCTTACCTGATACTTCTCATAACTCCCGGGGACATCTCATTTTACACAGGCTGAAAACCTGAGTCTGGCGGTTCCTTCAGGACCTAGCCCCTGCTCCCTCTCTCCCTCATTTCTTCCTACTTGGATCCTTTTCTTGTAGCTCCATCCACAAAGTACACTCTTACCTGAGTCTTCATGAATATTTTTAAACACGCATCTGTCTCAGGAAGTGAGGGAGCCAGCTATGAGGCTGATAAGAGACCAAACAGGAAGTACCTCTTCTTCTGTCCCTCTGCCCCTGCCCCTCTGTCTCCGATTCTAATAAGGTCTTTTTGAACTCTCTGAACTCTACTGTGGTCCCTTTAACCCTTTGTAGCTATTCCATCACCTATTCACATTTATACAGACCATCTGTGTAGATGGTCCATATAGATAGATGTAACACCTGCATGTTGTATAGTATATAACCCAGGAATTAATATTATTATTAAAGATTGGAATAAAAGAACACGTGTTTGCCAGTGGACAGGTATCAAGGGAAATTGGGATTACTTGGCAAGTTGCAACCAATGACACTGTGAAAAGATATTAATGTGTCATCTGTTTCCAACACAGTGCTCATGACAAACAGTGATGCATACTCCTGACCTGCCCTTTCCTCAGGAGCATCAGGTTTTTACTACCATAAATAACCAACTAGGGGTTGGCTACAGAAAATTTCAAAAGTTCACAAGCAGAGATGAGTAGGATAATATAGTACAAATGCTTACTTTCAGCTTCTTAGATTTACCAGTGCATTAAGCAAAATTACTTCCCAGGGGACTTTTAGCTTATGCAATACTGTGATTCACGAATGAACTCAAAGACCAAGTTGGATTTTCTTCCCAGTGTCACAAAGATTGAAGGGCTGTTCCCATCATGCATCTTGGGAGACCTCCCAGAGGCTTCCTTTCCATGGAAATGAGCTTAGCTTTCCCAGTGGACTCATCACTTTGGTTTTTCAGAGAACTGAACACACTGGAAGTCAAAACAAACCACCGCTTTCCTAACCCATTCACTACACGTCTTCTCTATCAAAAACTGATCTATCAGGAAGGAGAACTCAGCTGAAGAGCTCTTGCCCAGAATACATCACGCCCTGAGTTCAAATTTAGGACTATGGAAAGAAAAAAGGACCTATCTATACTTTACTTATAAAATGTCAACACATCAAACATTTTTGCAGAAGTTTTGTTTTTTTTTTTGTTTTGTTGGGGAAGTCCTGTTATTTGCCTGTTATTTGTCAATAAAGTACTGTTGAGCCAATAGGAATCTAGATAGGTGGGACTAGGAGTCCAGGAGGATTCTGGGAAGGAGAAACACAGGGAGTCAACATGTAACACCATGGGGTAGGAAGCCCAGAACTATTCTCTGGTAAGAAGCATACTTAGATTAACAATTATGGGGTAATTACTTAAGTCAGAGCTAGCCAGTAAGAAACAAGCAAGGCCAACAGCTTCATAATTAATATAGCCTCCTGTGTGTTTATTTGGGACTGATGCGGCTCTAGAACCAGGCTGGCGGGAAGGCTTTCCTCTCAAAGAAAAAGCTTCTCTTAACACACCCCAACACAAACTCCATAGTTTGTTAGGAGACACCCAGCCTACTTTCTTAGACACCTGTTTTATGTGTGTACTGGGGCTGTCTGCACTCCCCTGCTGGGTCC